AGAGAGAGAGAGAGAGAGAGAGAGAGAGAGAGAGAGAGAGAGGCGAATAGAGAAAGGAGAAGGAGGGGAGAGAGTGAGAGGGGCGGTTAGCGATAGCTACGACGAGGAAGGGAGAGGCCGTGCGTGCGACGTACAGGGTGCTCGGCTACTTTTTCGATAGAGCTACGACGGTCGAGCACTCAGAGAGAGAAAGAGAAAAGGGGGGGGGTGGAGAGAAGAACGAGGAAAGGGAGAGTGAGCGGTGTAAAAGGATAGCCATTGTGAGAAAGGGGGGAGGCCGGTTGGAGCCATAGCAGAAGGGGGATGTGCTCGACGCGGTGTGCTGCTTATCACGGGCCATGCGCTCATCCAAACTCGAAACCAGCCTTGTCATCGGCTACTCGACAGCTAGCCGGCACTCGCCATTGGGCTTTTCTGAAGACGATATACTCGTGGCGCACCGGCGAAAACTCGTTGTCTACTCTCCGCTCGCGATTCCAGTACTCAGTTCGCTAACGGACGGATTTTTCGTTCGCTCGGTCTGTCTCGGTTGAGCTCGAGCTACAGTACCGGGAGGGAGAAGGAGAGGGAGAGTGTTGAGTTTCGTCCTTTCGGTCGGCGGTCTGTATGCTGACCCTGGAAAAGATAGTCTGTGATCGTTTGTGCGCATCAGTTACGGTGAGACGAGGGTTAAGGGTTCAGTCGGCGGGTTGTGTGCCGCACCTGTAAAAGATATCTGTGTTCGTTTGTGCGCATCGGTTAACTAGAGTCGAGAGTTAAGAGTTCAGTTTTGTCCTTTCGTTCGGCTGACTGAGTGCCACCCCTGTGAAAGATGTCTGTGTTCGTTTGTGCGCATCAGTTACCGAGAGTCGAGAGTTAAGAGTTCAGTTTCGTCCTTTCGGTCGGCTGCCTCTTCGCCGCTACTGAAGAAGAGGTCAGGGTTCTCTTCGGCGCATTACTTACCCCGAGAGAGAGAGGGGGAGAGAGAGAGAGAGAGGGGCAGCTTGAAGAGGGGACGAGGCGGGTGAGGGAACCGTGGAAAAGTCACTTTAACGAAGTAGCGATCTCGCTGGGTAACGTCGGGTGGGACTCGGGGCCATAGCTCGGGCCAGCCCTGTGCCTTCGAGCTCCGAACTGGATGTTCCGAAAAGTTTTCTTTGAAAAGAGCCTCGTGTGATCGCTTGTTGGGATTCGGTTCTCGGCTGTATGAAGTCGGGTCGTGTCTATGCATTGACTTCTACTTACTGGTGCTTGACTAGGGTCGGTTTTCCGTTGTGAGTCGTCGGGTAAGCTTTTCTACGCCTAACACTCAGCTGGTGACTACTGGGCGATGCCGGGATCGGCCTCTCCATTTGAACCTCGGATCGCCGTCTGGCGCAACCCAGGGGCGCTCGCGCCCTTTCTAAAACTCAGTCCTTAGGCGTCCCACGCTCGAGCTCGTTTCCTCTTGCCCCCGCTCTGAGTTCGATCGGAGCTCCGAGAAGGGAAGATCGAACCCGGCGTTCTTCGCCCCTGGGAAAGCGGTCGGGAAGGGGGAAGGAGGGGGTACTCAGAGACAGCCAGGACGAGGGGGAGGTGCCACCGGCGAGCTATACCAAGCCCGGCGCGTGGTGCCTGCAGAGTCGCGGGCCGCGTTCGCCCGACTTTCCGTAATAGAGAACTAAAAGAAACGGGTCCCCCGACAACGTGATGGCGATGGGCAGCGGGAAAATGAAGGGACCACGTTCGTAAGAGCTTCATTTATTCTGGTGGTGGGGAAAACGTTTGCAGACAAAAAGTCCGTCATAGCCATATCGGTCGCCACTCGA